CTTCCGTGGGCAAATTCAAAAAAAAAAAAGAAGTTTGGACAAATTTAGCTAGTAACCTAGAAGGGACTAAATGAGATGTATTAGAGGAGAAATTATGTTAGGGGCATTTGAGGAGATTAAAAAGGTAAAATAATTTTAAACATTTATGAAAAAAAAAAACAAAAAAAATCCAGGCACTAAGTATTTCGAATTTATCAACAAACAATAGTAAAAATAAAAATAAAACGAAAAAAAGCTATTAAAAAATGAAGCTATTGGTTACAAAATATGGGGTACGCGTTTTAGGTTTAAATATCTTGAGCTTTGCGATTCCGTTTGTAAATGCAGCTATTGGTTACAGAATATGGGGTATGCATTTTAGCTCTTAATTTTTTTTATCGTGGTTTATTAGGGGTGAATTACAGTAGTTTTGGGTAGCGAAAATAATAGAGAGACGCATCCGAACCATTTCTTCCAATTACCCGTCAAGACGATTTTCACCTATCACCGCATGTAATAGATTTCCTGATTTTACCCTTCTTTTTGGAAAAATCTCCAACTATCTTTTTTATGTAATAGATTTCCAAGTTTCCAATGGTGCCTTAGACAATATGCTGTCTAGAGGTACAAGACATCCATCATGTTAAAGATATACGCAAATTAGGTGCTCTATCTAAAATCAAATGTAACTAACGGTTCAAATATTTTATTTTTTCATATTCATGGTCTTCATGTTAAAAATTATATTATTTTCTAAAAATTAAGATCAAACTATATTTAAAAAATATATTTATTGCCAAACCCACATTTCTACATGTGCCAGCTTGGCCGCATGCTAACCGCGTCCATGTAAAAATCAGTATTCACAGCCAAAATACTTTTCAATTTTTGCCAAAATGATAAAAAAAGATTTAAAAAAACTTTACAAACAAATCCATTATTTTTTGGGATTTTATATTTTTTTTTTTATTGTTTTATAAATACCCAGTCAGACCACCAAAACTGACCAAAAACGGATCGGCCAATCCCCGATTCTGGTTTGATAGGCTGGTTCCGACTTGGACGGACCGAGTTTGAAAACACCGGCCACAACATTGAAGAAATTTTATTTTGGACTTTATAGCTAATCAATGATACATTTCCCTATCCCCTACTTTCACATGCAATGGTCAATAAAAATTATGGCCTCGTTGTATTAAAATTAAATGAGCAATTTCTAATAAATACAAACACAATACTACCGATAAACAAAAAATAATGACTTTTTATTATACACTTGTTGAAGATTTTAGCAAACTAGGAAAAACTAAAAAAATCTAATGCATTTACCATTTCAAGAGTTCAAATCAATGTTTAAAAATCCGGACTGGAAAAGTAAACTGGCCATCTAGACGATTCGCCTGAGAGGATTGGCCAGTAAGAAAAATAAAAAAATGAAAAAAAATAATAAAAAAGCGGAGTGGATCATTTATATATTTTTTACGTAAAAAAAAAAAAACGTGAGAAGATGGGTTTTACGTACCTGTCTTGCGATGTTATTCTTTTGGGTTTTCATGGGAGTTCTATTCACGCTTTGTGGTATCTGAATTGTGCCTTCTTGAACCATGTTGTCTGCAATGAATGACATACCGCTTAGAGAGAGAGAGAGAGTTCCACAATGACACATTCATCGCAGTAGAGAGAGAAAGAGAGGAGGAGAGGTGCTCGCCCTTAACTGAGCATATGCAGTTGCGTGTGTAGGGCTGCAACGGGCCGTGTTTGACCCGAACCGAAAAGTCCAAACATTTCAGCCAGGCTGATGGCGGCCCGTGCTGGAATCTCTGTCTTTCTCTTGGGCTGGGCCAAGCCCAGAATATGCTTCAGGCCCGGCTGCTAACCGGCCCAAAATTAAATTATGGGTGGACTTTAGGCCCAAACACCAGCCCGGCTTAACTTTTTTTTAAAAAAAGGAAAAAATTACTTTAAGATCTCTCTTCCCAAAGTTTTTTTTAGTCCATCTTAAAAAAAATAAAAAAAAAATTTCTATAAAAAAAACTATACTAAAACATTTCTTTCAATCAAAATTTAATAAATAAAAATAGAGATGGTATACAATAACATCATTGATCTTGATACAAGGAGGTCACAATTACTTATAACCGGATGTTAAATTTGATAGCTTGGGTGTGTCATAAAGTTTGATAAATTCTTTTTTGAATATTGAGCTTGGTCAATAGAATAAATGCAACCATCCAATGGTCAAAATTAATTACGATTTTCTTCAACTGAAGGTAAATGATCTCTTTGTATATTTTTTTTTTCCATTAAAAATAAAAAGGTGCGGTTTGTATAGAGCTTAGGCTCTAAACATTCAAATTAGAGCTTACCTTCAAATAGTATTGAGAAATGTAGTTTCAATACTGGAAATCTTATTGATAGCCTTAAAATCTATTTTTATTTTTTATTTATAAAGTTTAAAGCTTCAAAATAGTGTAGATCGATAGATCTATGAAAACTTGAAAATCTTGAAAATTGACGGTCATAAAATATGTTACAAAATATACTATTCCATCTTGATGTCGAGATGATCAATTTGAGGATATTCGGGCATCAAAACAATCTTCTTATGAAATTTTTGAGGTAAGTTCAAATTTGATTGTTTTGCGCTTCGGCTCTATGCAAACTTTTCTCAAAAAACAAAAAAAAAGAAAAAAAAAAAAGAAGAATTTGGAAAAGTGAGGCACGTGGCCATCCAACCCCACATGACTCAATATCAGACTGGCCCGTAATTGTCCTGGCCTGAACCCAGCCCGGAAGCCCGAAGGCGGCTCATAAGTAGCCCGAACCAGACCCCTCCATGAAAGCCCAACGCCCTCCCCAGACCGTTGGCACCCGAAGCTGTGTGTGAGAGAGAGTACACGAAGTAGTTTCATTGGAAAGCGGAATCGACATGGAGCTTGAGCCTGGTTCCCCTTCCATGCTGGTGCACAAGGCCGCATAAAATGAAGAGAGAGAATCTTGAATCACTGCAAAGCCTTCCCGCCTTCTCAGTTGTGCATATTGCAGTAGAAATTGCTGCAATTCCTCCATATCTGTGAACCTAAATCATCATTCAATTTCTATGTAAAACTATCCAAAATGCCATTTGAAAATAATCGAATTTGAATTCAACATAGTGCAACCTCAATTAATCCATACTATTAAAAACATAATCGATACAAAATCACATGACTAGACCAGACCACACTTAGAGAATAAATATCAAGCATATCGTCGCGGCTCAAATCTCACTGGAAAATTCTAAAATCAATTTCTGGACCCTAACAACTACGTCTCTAAAGAAAATTTGAATTCGCGGCTTTAAAAACTGTGCATCTCTTGTAACGCATTATTTTCAATTATTAACATATTCGCCAAATCTACCACTATTTTTTGAGTTTCAAATTTTTGTAATCAGGGGCAAAAATAGATACTCAGGTTATTATAGGGACTTCCAGTGCTAGCATGAATTTACTTTTTAAGCATTGTGCACACCGGGGACATATATAATTAGCACCATATCGAGCCGGGTTGTGGTCGTGGCACCCCTATACCTAATTGTCACGTTGTAGTTTTCAATCATACTGACGTCACCTACGGACACTTTCAAAAAAGCTAACTTCCTAATCTATCTAGAAAAACGAGTAGGGGTTTTCTTCCCCACTATTACCCAAAAAAAAATAATAATCTAATTTCAATATAACTTTTTTTACTATTACTTGCAGGCCATTACTATTAACCCCAAAAAATTTCAGATTTGAGGGGATATGTTGCATGTGTTACGTGTGCATGTTAAGAGAGTGTGTGTGTTTTGAGGGATTGTGTTGCATGAGTTATGAGAGAGAGACTCATGATTAGCACTGAAAACCTTCATCTTTTTATGGAACGTCATGGATTAAGACATGTTTTGTGCTTGCCAAACAACCTGTTAAATCCTTACACAAATAGTCGTTGCTCCTGTGAAGAAGGGATCCCACCATTACCATACTGCACTTGCATTACTGCACGAGTCACCACACACGGTCAGGATGCGTTCCCTGCAAATCGAACTGCCAAAATTGATACATAACGAGAGTTCAAGACACTGAGGGAAGAGAGACGATGGAGGGACACAACCTGTCAGAACACTGAGAAGAGAGGGATTTTTTTTTACACTAAAACCTTTTAGTTAGTTATTTTAACCGTTTTTTTTTTTTTTTACGTTTTAACGGTCAAAAAGGGTGAAGGACACGTTAAAAAAGGTAGAGATCATCCTCACCTTATCCAACAAGGACAAAAAAAAAGCCAAATTAGAGCTCACTTCAAAAATTTTAGTAGAAGAGGTTACTTTGATGCTCAAATATCTTCAAATAGATCATCTCAATAACATAAGAAAAAAATGGATTTCAAGTTTTGAAAATAGTGTATTTTGTAACGTATTTATTTCAAGTTTTGAAAATAATGTATTTTGTAACGGTAAATTCTCAAATATTTTCAAGTTTTCATAAATATACTCAATCTAATTAAAGGTGAAAATATATTGGGAAAAGTTTATATAGAGCCTAAGCTCTAAACAATCAAATTAAAACCTACTTCAAAACTTTTACTAGAAAAGGTTGTTTTGATGTCCAAATATTGTCAAATTGATCGTCAAATTGATCATCTCCACGGCAACATGCATGGACATAAGAAAAAAATGGGTTTCAAGTTTTAGAAATAATGCATTTTGTAACACATTTTTTGACCGTCAATTTTTAAGGTTTTCATAAATATGCTTGATCTACATTATTAAATTTTATAGCTAAAAATGAAAATATAATTTAAAGGCTATCACAAAACTATTTGAAAGTGAGCTCTAATTTGATTGGTTAGAACCTCGGCTCTATACAAACCGCGCCCAGATATATTTTAAGGCTTATCACAAAAGTATTGAAACCACATTTCTTCAAAAAAAAAAAAACAGAATATTAGTCGGAAACTCATTTGTGCGTGAGATATAAGACTCGTAGAAACCGTGTGTCCGGTGCAGTCTTTCCAAATCGAACCGCAAGGATTAACCGGGCATGGGCCCAGAAGCGGTTTAAACCTCGGAGCCTTGTTTGCCACTGGTCTCTGGCCCCAGCCCCAGCTCCAGCCCAGTGCTCTCTGAAATATGAGGTCCGGGCTCGCTAATCTTCCATCTTCTCTCAAAATAGGTTCCCATTTAACCTCTCTTACCCCTTCGCATTTTGCTTTACATCCTCCCCTCCCTGGAACAAACCCTAAATTTTCACAATTTTCCGTTTCCCATAAGTCCAGGCACCTCAATCTTTTACCGAGAGAGAAACACAAAGAAGCGAAACCTAAGTTCTTCCCCTTTTGTCTTTCACGTGGAGAGAGGCACTTAAATTTGTTGGAGAGAAGAAAGTTTAGACTCAATTTCGGAGAAAACCCTAGATTTTACTCTTTTTGTTACTCTTTTGAGGAGAGTCGATTGAAATTCTCAAAGAGGGAGAAAAGCAGAGCGATATCGGTGATGGCCACTGCGTATAAGCCGGAGGAAGCTAGGCGCCCTCCAGCCCTTCCGTTTCTTCCTGCTGCAGTATCAAAGGTGATGATCATTTCTCATCAAGGGTCATTTGTTTGCTTTGGTTTGCTGATTGTGAGCTAATTTGGTCCTTGGCTAGATATGCTTTTCGACTATTTAGTTTTAGTGGTCATGTACTTGTTTGATGCATTGACATGGAGTTCCTGGATGCTAGTTATGTACGTTCATTTGATGATAATGTTGGAAATATTTCTCTGTAAATTTTAGTGTTTTACGCTGATTAGGCATGAATGACATTTGACTGTGTAATCTTATTGATTTATAGTGGTTATACTGCTGTTTCTTTAGAAATATTATCCATGTATTAGGAAAACATTGTTCGATATTGGGTTTTGTTTTTCATTGTTATGCAATTTTGATGTAATACTGTTTCTGCAGAAATCTTGTCACTTTGCTTAAGAAACCATTGCTGTATAACGTGTCTTTGCTTAAGAAATCTTTTCCCTATTTAAAGAAATCAATCCACTGCTAACTCGAAGTTCTATGTATGTGTAGTTCAAAATTGCTCTCTGCCAACTATCAGTCACTGCAGACAAGGTAAGGAACATCGCTCATGCCCGTAAAGCAATTGAAGAAGCAGCAGGAAAGGGTGCAAAACTTGTTGTCTTGCCTGTAAGTTACAAAGGGGTTGTATTTTTGTTTTTTTTTCTTAACAGAGCAAAACCCTTCTAAGCTACAAATGAAATTGGAATTTACTTCTTATGTCTTTTTTAGGGCGTTGATCTATTCACTTCTTATGTCTACGCCAATGGGCTTCAGTTATGGGGAATCATTTCTTCTTTGAATGTCTACGTATTCACTATACATAGATGAGAATTTTTTATCTCGAATCAACTGTTAGGAGTTGTGGGGATTTTTATATTATTAAGTGCCACCTTTGTTCATACTAAAATTGATATGCTAGTGCGCTCAAAAAGACACTAAAACCATTGGGATAGCCTAAAATTGTCATGCTTCTGCCAATGGTAAAAATTTATTCCTCAAGGCTGTCAACATAAACATAACAAAATGTGACCAGAAGTTTTCAAGAGACCATAATTTGGACGTTGTCAATAGAGAGCATCGTGAGCTGATAGTCTACTAAGCACCTTTAGTGGCAGCTAGTTTGTAGAATAATAAACAGTTGTATGAAATACCTCACTCCAATGGTCAAAGGAGACCCCAATCATATGCATCGTCGTGAGTTCAGTTTCTGTGATGTGGCAATGCTTGCATTCAACTCTCTATTTTGCTCCATATGTGTACGCAATACTATTGATGTATTCCAATGTGTGAGAAGAACTTGATGTACTCTTTTAACAATATCTGTATATACTAGAGGTTTGATTTTATCATATGCTTCTCCAAT